CATTCGGACAGAACAGACGAATTTATCACCTAGTGAACTGGATGGGTTCAAAGTGCCTCCCCAAAAGCCCAACGGAGTAGAAACACTGAGAACTGGTAAAATTCTGGGAGAGAAACGTGCGGTGGACCAGATTGAAATGTCAAACCAAGCAAAATCACAGACTGACTCATCTTGTCAGGCTGCTCCACCTACAGCTGACCAATTAGCATACCCCGCCTCAAATATTTTTACTTCGTCCACCGGCATAGTGTCTTCTTCGATGCATTCCGTGTCACCAGATCACACCACAAACTCTCCACAAGCGCTACCATCTATAAACAACCCATCTTCTCAATTGACCGATGTTTATTTGGCTTTTCTTTGCCTACCTACTGCGTGCGCTTTAATTTTTGAACAGTTCATGGGGGAATCGGCCTACAACACCATACAGTTTGAACCCATTCTACTGACTCCGCTCTTCAATGTTCCTACACTATCAGGTCAGTTGCAATTGTTGATGGCTTATCCATTTGATATTCAGCCCGTTCACTCGGGATTCCCATTTGATTTACTATACGAAGTTGTTCCAGTTGAAACGACTTACGGTACCACATGGAGACAGGAAACATTTGGACCTCAGACTATCGGAAAAAGTATGCCAGGTGACTTTATCCATCATGATCCTTCCGAGCAAATAAGCTTGGTGCCTGAGAAAGTTGCTACAGCTAACGAAGTGGGGGTGGATGGTTCTGTGGAAGATCCTAAAAGAGATAAAGCAATGGAGGATGAGATTAGTTCACAGGTCAAAAAGACTTCCTGTGCAACAGCCTGCCATCCACAGTGCTCGCTGTCTTCCTGTCCATTAACGCCACATCACGAGAGGTTTATCGGGAGTTTGAATAACCTTCCGGACAGTCGTGCTATAGACGAGACAAGCTCTGTCTTCGAGGCAGTAAAAGAAACATCCTTGGTGTCACACTCAAAATCAAGATCAGTAGTCCAAGCAACTCATGAACGAATCCCAACCTCCGTCTTTGCAATGAAGCCAGGGGCGACCAAAAACCAGCAAGACCTGTTGTCATTGGCAGCGGTTGACCGTTTCCATTCGGATATTTCAACGGCTGCTGGCGTAATTCGAGAAGTTCACTCTAACATGGGTACTGATCAAAACTGTGGGAGAAACCTGCACATTGATTCGGCAGCCACTGGCGGTAGGTTGTCAGTTGCTCCGTGCGGCTTCAGTGTTGATTTCAAGAAACCTTTAGCCTCCACCGCCTCCTGCTTACTTACGCCCAATGCA